GACTCCTTACAATGGCCTAAAAGGTCCCCAGTGACCTGGCCTCGCCCACCTCTCTAACCTTGTGTGGCACCATATGCCCCACGCCCACCAGGCTCCATCCACCTGGTCTTACAGTTCACCCCGAGGCACTTTCCCCAATGGGCCTTCACGCATGCAGTCCCGTCTGCCTGGAAAGTTCTCCCTGCCTGCCCACATTCTTTGTGTGGCCGCGTTCACTCCACCTCTGCTTCTCCGTGACCGCCTTGAAGAGGCCTCCTTAGTGCACACATCTCCCTTCTCCCCTCTCAGGGCACCATATCCACATCCTTTGTAACACTCACTCTCTACAGGTTTTATCATATATGTAGACTGTTGGTCGCAGTGACGGCTCCGATTCGTCCCTCCCTGTCTCCACGTCTGTGGCGATAAGACTTTAAAATTTCTCTCGCTAAAGAGCTAGAGTTTATTTCCTCATCCCTTGATTCTAGGCTGGCTTTGTAACTTGATTTGGCCAAGGAGATGAGGTGGAAAACCAGGTCTAAGCCTACACCTCAAGACTCTGACGTGTTTCCACTTACTCCCTTGCAATCCGCCATCACCACAGATCATGCCGCGGCCAGGCTGTTGGAGGACAAGACGCACGAGAAGCAGAGAAGAATCATTCTGCTCGTCCCAGCTTAGGCCACCACAGATCAAGGCCCCAGGCATGGGAGTGAGCTCCACCAAGATCAACAGAGCCGCACAGACGACCCTATACCCAGGAGCAATGAACGCTGATTATCGTGTGACGCTCTAATCTTGTTTGTCACATGGCAACGGCTGCCGATACCATTGGCTTCGTTATTTTTGGTCAGTCCTAGACTATAAATTCGTGAGACAGAGACCAGGCCGTTGTATTCACCACTGCCTGGCACGTAGTAGGTACTCAGCAAACGTGTTGAAGGAGTGAGTCCCTTTGCTGCATAACGTCGGTCCCTTGCTCGCGGACTTGCCCTGTTGCCTTTGCGTTCTCACACAGGTGCATGAGGTAAGACTAGCTTCCAGAATTACCTTGTAGGCCTCCCAAGGTCAGAGTGTGAACTGTCCTCTCCCTGCTCCCTGACCACAGGGCTGGCCTAGCCTACAGCTACAGAGGAGAGAAGCACGAACATCGAGAAAATATCCAAAGGAGGGGCGCCTGCATGGCTCATTCGGTTAAGCACCCAGTTCTTGATTTCGGCTCAGGTCATGATCTCACAGTCTTGAGACTAAGCCCTACATCAGGCTCTGAGCCAGGTATGGAGCCTACTTAGGATTCTCTCTCCTTCTCTCCCTCTCCCCTGTCCCGCCACAAAAAAATAAAAGAAAATATCCCAAAGAGTATTATCTTTGACCCTAACTCGTCTTGGAAATGTCCAGCCGCCTACCATCCCTCTTCCCACGAATGAAGTCACCATCACCTTTCCTTTATCCAAAACGATATGGCCTTCATGATAAGGCCATTTCACCTTGACTGCCCGGGAAGCTTCCGACTGAGCCTTTCGTCTAATTAGTCTAATTAGCCCTTCATACTAATTCCCCCAGCAGGTGTCAGGCAGTGGGGAGACAACAGGGAAGGAGGGAGCTCACCAGCCCTCAAACCGTGACTAAGAACTAGCTCAACAGGAATGTCTCAGCAGGACCCTTCCAGAAGGTGTAACAGAGAAGCCCAGGGGAAGCGCATCTAGGGGGGACCCTGCATCTAGTGCCTCAGAGGCATCTCAGACTGCTTTAGAAGCGGAGTCTGAATCGGAGAGGTAGGGTGAGGAGCTCCATTAAGAAGAACTATGTCTTGGGGGACGAGGCGATCTTCCTGTTCATTTTCCAAAGCAAACGGTGCTACACAAAACAGCCTGTTTTCTCTGGGCTTCCCACTCCAAGAACCCCCTCGGTTCTTGTAAGAGGGTAAGTGCTAAGTTCGTACTTACTAAGTAAGCGCTAAGTAAGTCACACAGCACCTGAGTCAAGGGACCTCCCCGCCCCCCACTGC